CGGTCGACCAGCGCGTCCTTCAGCATGTCCTTGATGCTGTCCGGGTACTCCGACTCGGAGAGGCTGGCCTTGGACGCCTCGGACGCGGCGTCCGAGTCCTTCTTCGGAGCTGCGGCCACGGCCGACACCAGCAGCCAGCACAGCACACACGCTGAAATGCAGGCGGTATGACAATCGCCATTGCAGTGACACTACTTTGTGTCATCAATATGGACATCAACGTGGAGATAGACACAGACAAATTATCGAGATAGACGCGGACAATTCATCGAAAAATGATCACAAATCACGAGCAGCAATGGACACTGAATGAAGATGGAATTCAACACAAACGGGAATGGGCGTGCTCTGTGCCATCGCATGGCGATGTCCGGGCATCAGCTAAGGTATCTCGCCAACCGTGGCCGTCGAACAGGTCACCTGGCGTGTCAGGACTTCAGCGGAGGGAGGATCGGTGCGTTTGAAAAAGGGAATGCCTTAGTTGCGTGCTGTAACAGAGTCCTTTTAATGAATGTGTCAGGGTGGATACCACCGAGGCAATGCACTAAAAATGCAGCCGAGTCACCCAAGACACGGAAAACAATGTCATTATCAACTGGCACAAAAAGACGCCGAAAACAACGTCATTATCACCGTATATCAAGCATGAAACGGTCAGCGTTGTTCACTGCACGACCTCATTCAGACCACGCCTCCACCATGCGTGCACTGGCTGGTAGCCAATCATGGGACATCTGTTTGAAAGGTGCTAAGCGGATAGTGCCCCCTGCGAAGGGTGTTGCAAAAATGCTCTTCAATGGTGTGGTTACTACCATTGCGTAAGGCACTACGAACTGCACCAGTTCATGTAGAGCCTTCAATAAACAATCCGTTTTGATTAAGTTGAGCATGACAGCGCTGGTCAGATCATCAGAAAACCTTATTTCGCCTCAAGTTTGGTTGCGACCAGAGCTCTTCAGTCACCCAGTCTGTACCGAATCCACCTCATGCATGACAGCGAGACTTTGGAGCTGCTGAGAGCCAGCGAATGTGTTTCAGCGCATCTAGGCTTAAGTCGCTGGGCTTTGGCTGAATATTGTTTGGGATAACTTGGGCCCTCACACGATTTGAGATTGGGTTGGGCGTCGGATATGCGGATTTTAATAGTGTATGTACTATAGTAAAGTAGTGTATGTATTTTGTTGTTATGCATGGTCATGCCATGCACTATAAAACCAAATGGACACAAAGCCACATAGCAAATGTTTTGGCATTGGTGGATAGCATGGACAAAGTTCAATAACCCGGACAAGTTTCTGAGAGCAGCAAAAAGTCCGATGGAAGAATTCCGGGGATACCTGGGCCTGTGCGAAAAGTCTGGGTACCTCAAGACGAATGCAAGAAAAAGGGGTCATCAGTCCTAATATGATAAATCTGATCTGGCCGTGTAGATGTGCGCGGGCAAAACCGCGGCAAAATAAAGCAGAGCAAAGCTTAACAAAACATAAATGGCGATACTCCCTGTATCCTATGGCCCTGTTCACTCCTAGCTAGGACCTTAAATGATACAAAAACTGATGATAGTAGGCGTATGTTTTGTATCAGTGAATGCATTTTCAGACATGGACGATGAAAATAATTCAACTTAAACTAAAAATGAAATAGGTATGAAATATGAGTTAAGATAATGCACTCCTTCATTTACGGGTTGATCCTATGTGACCCATGTTGGTAGCTGGATTTAGCCTGATAATGCAGGATTGGTTTGATTGATTTATGTACTGATCCAGACTGGCAGTTAGACGGACCAGCTTATGTATCAAATCAAACAAATATAAAAATGAAGGATAATTAGAATGGTTGCTTCCAGAATCACAGAGAAAAAGAGGAGATGACTACCATCATTACGGATGTTATGTCGCCATGAGGTTGACTTAATCCAGCATTAGTATTTGCTGCCAGAATGTGTAAAGTCAATTGCTTTAGAAAAACAGAATTTGGTGAGCCCGCGTGGAACGTATATTAGCTATCAACTGGTGTGAACTCTAGGTGATCAAGAGGAATGTTTTAACTTCATATTATCCGGTAGTTAAGAGACGACCTGCGACGAACAGATCTGTCTGTTTATGTCAGACAGCGCAGTAAATTGCATGAAAACATGTGAAGACAATATCCAACTCAGTACCGTTACACTGCATATGACGTCATCTCCCATCGGAGGGCAACGTAACAATTCGACGCACTCAGCAGATGAGGCTATAAGGCGCCGTTTACCGTCACCCTGGAACAAAGTGCGGGACCGCGGGGATCGAAGCCCGTCAGAGGTCAAGACGACCCGAGCTAAGCATTGTGGCACATTCACGCGCTCTGGTGGGGTCAATTTGACCCCTCCCCGAAGGTTTTTCTGAATGGTTTTCAAACGCCGCGGTGAAGCCGCCCCAAATTTGTTAGCTGTAGACAATTGAATAGCAGATCATTTGGTATCAGAAATTTAGACGCATCTTGTAAGTCGCTGACCTACAACAGGTCAAAATCAGGCCACGGATTCAGCTCAACAATTTCTAGGGCATCGTTTAATCTCATGCAATAACAGTGTTAGAAGAAGCCATAATCTCTGAGATAGCTTCTTAGGCAACACAACAATTGAATAAACAAAGTTCATCGACCTAGGGTCAGATATGAACGTCAAGCCAAGGTTAAAACCAATCTGCTTTGTTACTCTAGAGCTCACTGTATGTAGTAGTTTCTGATGCTCATTTCGTTTTTTATACAGGAACCACATTAGGTATCCTCCATGGACCTTTTAAAGATCCTAATAGGTGTCTGACCCAAAATAATCGCGTCAGCATTTTGTTTTTAGGATCATGTGTCTAGCATAATTTTGACGCTTATTCAAATGCAACTCGAAGCAGCCTTGTATGATTTGGGTCACCATGACCTGTAAAGGGTTAAACAAGGTCACAGACCTTGAATGAGCACCAGGACCTTTTGCTTAGAACAGGTATCTAGTTTCTGGGGGCACTTTGGACACCAATCAGGAGTTTGACGTTGCTTGATCGTATTTGACCCGAATGTTATAATCTAGGAACATCAAATTTTGACACAAGTGAGCTCATACACAGATCAACGCACCCTGCAAGTTTGGTGTCTCTAGCTCTCTTAGTTTCTGAGATCTCAGGGGGTCAAACTGACACCGACCAAGCGAAACAGTGCAGATCTTTACTAGGTGATGGGATGTTGTCATGCACATGTGTCGGAATTGGACGTTTCGCTAGGAATGAAAAGAATAAGATAGCCAAAAACTAATGCTGCTCAAGCCGACGAAATAGGACATTCACGACCCAACACAGGCCACTATATGCATGCACCAAGCGTTGCATTACACCTGGTTATCTGAGCTTATAAAAATTGCATCAATCAAGCACAATCGCAGCGCGCAAAACATTATCTCGCCTTGGTTATATGTTTCAGCTAATGAAATGAATGAATAATGGTGAAGAGCTCACAAATGCAATTGATTTGTTTCATGCTGAGCACCGAATTGATGCCATCCAGAGCTTATAGAGCTGTTTCGGATAATGTAAGGCTGGCTTAGTAGA